ACACACACACAGGCACATACAAGCATTTTCCTACTTCAGACTGAAGTCAAAGAAAAAAATTCTGAAGGTTTAGAATAAGCAAATGACAGAGGAACTTTTACACGCACACACACACACACACACACACACACAGACATGGGTATAATGGGCGTGTATAATGTCCAAGGTATAGACTGACTACACTTAACCACCAGCAGCAGCAGTTTTACACATCCTAATCAATTAAGGTAGCATAATTTACTCCTTATAGATCATTTCGTAATTACAAATCAATAATTTCTTCTATTTTTTATTTAAAGGTCATTATTTAACACTATCCTCGTAGGTTTGTATGGTGTTTTTTAGATATTTTGAAAGGAAAGTGCATTTTGTGCAATATATATTTCCTTCCTAGTTAAGTTGTGTGTGTGTGCCTGATAGTGTGTCAGTATATAAGGGAACTAAATAAAAGAACATTGATTACTAATTTTAATTATGTACGTCTATCAATTAATGAACAGACTATTAAATCAGTACTGTACTTTTAAAAGGGAAGATAGAGACAACGGTTAAAACTGTACTCTTAATACATACACGCATATAAAGAACAAGCTGACAACTTAATTTACGAATTTACACTAGATACACGAAATAAAAAAAAGATTTAAGTCAACAGTTGCTTTCAATATCTTTTTTACTTACACTCTAATCACTATAAAATGACAAATTCAACATATGCATAGAGTAGACAATAGCGACAAAATTAAAGCTATTCCAAAAACAGAAACACGGTAGATAGAATGAAATGTGGTTTAGTGAAAGGATAGAAAAATGGTAGGCGGTAGGTTTCGATTGTGCTTTAATTGCATGCATAATGCGTAGACAATACAAAAACACAATGCAGATGTAGTTAAACTACAGAAGCCCATCAGTAATAACTCGATGAAAGAACCTACAAAATGACGTCAAAGCAACTAATCACATCATGAATACCATGCATGGATTGTGCTCATAATTTGCTCTTCATATGATACCCTAGTTTTATCTAGATAATGGATCATCTATTAAACTTTAACTAAGAAACCGCATTTTTTTCCTTCACGTTCCCCAGTGGAATATAGGGCTTCGAGCTAGTGGCTTAAAGTTTCTGTAACAGTGTTTATTTTACAGGATGGGGTTGCTAGCCTCATGCCCAACCTTTCCTCTTTACCAACATTATTTCTGGTTCAGCGAGGTAAAGGAGTGCGTCGGTGGCCGGGGATCGAACCCCAGACCATGTGGATGGTCGGCGAGCGTCCTAACCGCTATGCCACCGACGCACAAGAAACTGCATTACAGTATTTTAATGAAGAATAAGACTGTCTATACATTTGGAAACAAATGTTTATCAATAAATTTATCAGTCTTAGCGTAGATCTTCTGTGACTGATCGTTCATATTCGTTTAGATGGTACTTAATGGTGGCTGCTACAATTTAACTTCCTTCCCTATGATTCAGAGACGTGTTTATGGGTCTATCATCAAAGTGTGAGTCACAATAAATGGGAATAATGAAAGCGTGAACACAGAAAAGGTCTAGCAACACGGTACCTATTGTCAGCCTAGTGCAAATAGTGTCTTCAAAGAGAGTAAAGGACAGAAAAAAGACAGTTAGGCTATGCAGGTACGTAAGACACGAAGGCATGAAATGATCAAGTCTACGATGAGCTTTTGTCTGGGCCTGGGTATAGATAGAAATTGAAGATGATTTATTTAGATGCAAAAGCTTAGCTTATTCTTGCTAATTCTATGGCTTCACTTGTGAATCAAATACGTAAACGTGTACCAATCTGACGTATGACTTAGCACTTTAAATACTACTGTAAGTGTTTCTTCACTAAATGAGATGAGACAGCATTGTCTATTGAACGAGTAATTTCTTTTGACAGAGCAACTGGGACACATAAGAAAAAGTCAGTCTGAGTACGGTATATAAAAACTAGTCCCCACAGGGGGAGTTCAACCTGTATACACATAATGATGTTGCTATCTGTGATGACATGCTCAATACACTATATCAGTATAGGACAAATTGAGAAGTTTATGTTATTCAGTGGAATTCAATTCCTTTCAAAAAACGTTTAATCAGCTTAATATATCACAAGATCCCAACCGATAGCTGCTACCTTGACGTGGTGGTCGGGCTTGCACATCGCGATGATACAACAAACTACACTGGCTGGAACCAATGTTCCTGCAGGTCCTACCATGCCAGGAAGGTTGTTGTGATAGCGATTAGACTAAAAGCAGTTACCGACATTGTGTAAGAATCTTTCTTACACTATGTTGGGGGTCTGAGGGCGAAGTCGTACTGCTGGGGAACAGGGATGTAACAGCAATAAGGTGTTTCCCTCAGATGACCAGCATGTCAGCTATGCTGTCTCTCCACTCCGGAGAGAGGGGATTAGAAAAGGTCGACCCCAAAAATTGTACATCCCGACTTACCCTACGGTGGTCCGTAAACGGCGGTAAGTTTACTGATAAGAAACCACACCAAGAAAACAGTTCATACGGGCCGTGTGTGACCGGCCTGGCTCAAGCAGTTGTCCCCTGGGCTCTGCGGTCGCGCAACACTAACCCTCTCTCTGTTGCACGGTGTGGGGAGCCGGGAAGTAACAACCGTCCACACACTTCTAAAAGCACACGAAGCCTTCTTGATATCACAAGATATTCTGCCTTTGAGTTGCATTCATAGGTACATGTTTCACTTGCACACTCGCTGATCCCCTTTATTTTATCAGATCTAGATGTGTACTTCTTCACAAAATTACTGTGATAACCACTTTATGCAGAAGGACGCTTCATTTTATAAATATAACAATCTGTTGCATTCCATAATGTACAAACTTTTCATAGACACCAATGGTACGCTTCAGATTAGGCGTGTTTTTTCATTAATGCTGTTATTGAAGTGTGAGTTTTTGTTCTTTGACGAAGACAGAGAATTAAATCGCATTTGTACTTCATCACTATGAAGCTATGAGAGTGAATTTACTGTTTATTCAACGTAGTTTTCCTAAAAGCATTTCTGTGTAGACTCATCATTTCTTCTAGCTTCATGCCCAACCTTCCTCCTTTACTACCGAGTTTACTACCGTCTAAGTGAGATTTAGGAGTGCGTCGTCCGGGAAGTGAACCCCGAACCACAGGCGTGGTTGGTGAGCATCCTACGAGTGATGGGCCAGTGATGCACTAAATTTAATTGCGTCAGCTGGATATAATTAAATACATAGAATAGGTAGTGTTTATGAAGCATCTTATCATAGATTTGTCTGTCTGCTTTTGACATAGAACTTTGCACAAATGTGCGACAGTTCAAGTCGCCACACTCCCTCTATGTAGCACACAAATCAACAGAAGAAAGTAGAAGAAATGCATAATAGAGACAGTAAACAGAGGTGTGAGACAACGGAATAGTAATAACGAAGAACAAAACAGTTTCATCGGAAATCATAAGTCACAAGGAGTAGATGCATCTACACCAGCCATTGAGAACGATTTTGAACCATATCACCAATTGTTTCCAGCCATTGGTTTTTACCGTCCCGAGGACCCCAAACCGGAAGCCTACACTTTCCTATGTGGCTTAGACTAACTGTTGTGGACTTCATTGACTGGTTCCATGTTTTGGTTTGACCGCCGCTAGTTCTTTTCCAGTCTGATCCTATGTCAACTAACATTCCCCATTGTCGAGGAAGGCGATGACTAGGCATCCGTAACACATGTCCTAACCATCTCAGTCGATTTAATTTCACAGCCTCGTCGATTGATTTCCCCTCCTTACCTAGCCTAGCCCTCGATGCCTAACTTCAATATTGCTCACCTTACTATACCACTTCACACGGGAGATAGAACGCAGGCACCTATGATCAAAGACAGCTAGCTAATCTTTTCATGTCTTCCACTCTCAATGGCCAGGTCTCACAGCCATAAAGGAGGACGGAGCGGACTGATGAGCAGTACACCCGCCCTTTGGTCGACAGCCGGCCGGATATCACGTCTACGCCAGAGATGGCGTAAACTGGCGTATGCGAAACTAGCCCTCTGTATCCGTGCAGATAATAAACCATACGTTTTTCATAACGAAAAAAAATACTCAAGTATTACATTCATATTGTTTTGGACTATAGCGACATTGAACAGATTTACGACTGTACTAAGCAGCACTTCGAACAAAACAATTAGGCATACATATCGAAATATACATATACGGAGTAATCGCTTAGGCACATTGTCCTGTCCTGAATTCTACTTTTACTTCACTTGTTTCCATCACTTCATATTTCATTCCTACAGTCAGATTCGGTAAATAGTCCAACACACAGGATTTAATTGAAACAGGCTAATGATATTAGATAGTTGGAGGCAATCGGCCACATGAAGCCTTGCTTGACCTAGGTTTCGTTCTAGTTAGTACTCACCAGTCAGCGCATCAGACGTATCTGTAACCTTGAAGGAACTCACACCTTTCTGAGATTCGAACCCGCTTCATCCAGTGCTACAGTCAGATACGTTACCACTGAGCTAGTGGGGCTCGCGAGTGACCTCCTCCTGTGCCAACTAGCAAGAAACCTAGGCCCAAGGCTTCCTGTGGCCGATTGCTTCCAACCATCTAAAATCAACAATTCAAAGTGCAACATGATAGCGAGCTACCTATTATAGTGGCCACATTGCGAATCTCACTAAGAATTCAATCTGCACGAAACAAAGGACTAGACACATCACACTTTTTATTGACTAGTGTCCAATCAGGGTACAGGCAACTGAATCTTTATAATAATAATAACAGAAGTAACAATAATAATGCACATAATATATGCATATATATATATATATATATATATATATATATATATATATATATCACAAAAAAGAACAAAGGTTGTAAGACACTTAATTTTCGAATCCCTGCCATATAATAGCATACGTATACTATAAATACAAAAATGCATTTTTATCAGTAAAAGAAAAAACTGGCTTACAATTCATGAAATCAATCAACAATTCCGTATGATTGAGAATATCTTCTGATAATGAAGAACAATCTCGAACTAGACTGTTGACTAAGCCAAATAAATCAATGCATATATTAATGTGTGTCACAGACCATTGTTTCAAACGACCAAGTGAATCAAGCAGGCTGAAATTAATGGACAATACATTATTATTAATAATTGTTGTTAGTATCATGATATGAAAGAAAGTAGAACAATCAGTAAGTAGTGGAAACCTGAATGACTGACAAAAATGGCTGATTAAAGATATATATATATATATATAACCAGCAAGACGAGTTTTATTTAGAAGAATGGACAATGCAACGTCATTAATCTACCGGGGATGACTTGTATAAAAAAAACATAGCAAATAGAACTGTTAGATTTTCGTCACGAACCAACATCAGCTAGAGAAATCATTGAAAAGCAGGGAACACTGGACGGATATTTCGTCCTATTCCAGGCCTCCTCACAGTGGGCATCCACGATCCCACGAACCTGGGACCTTACAAGACTAAGCTCGTTGATCATTTTAGCCACTAGGAGGACTGGAATTCAACTTGTGATATAGTGGTTCCCCTCACCAAAGCATTCGATGGGTATCCCCACTTTGGTGTTCGTTGGTGACAAAAATCGAAGAGTTGTAATTAGTCCAAAACCCTCACAAATCGTATGATCTAAGTATGAAAAGGAAGGCAGTTTTATCGATCCAAGAGAAATATGGAGGGTACAAAGAATGATGAATTTACTGTGATCTTTTCTAAGCTACACAGTAGACAATCTAGTAAATTTTACAAAAATTAGATTACAGTATAGGTTCAGAATTACATGAAGTTGTACTCTGTGTGTTGCTGAAAATACGTTTTACTTGTTTGTGGACAACAGTAAACGGAATTCTGTCACAGATGAAATGATGATTGATTAGTATCCTTAGATCTTCTAAATCAAATCGTTTTGTGTAACCCAGAATGTTGACTTAAGTATAGGCGGTGAATTGTATTTATTGCGCTGGTCGCAGACTTTGATCAACAGCTGCCTTCGCTTTATACTGACGATCAGATGGAAAGAAAGGATAAGCAACAGGGAATCTATTGCCCAACTAATATGCCGAAGGAAATAGAGATAGATCAGACACACACTGAGACCGTTGAGTGATATTTCGGACCAGGTATACCCTCAAATGGAAAACGAAGAGTTGAGCAATCGAGGATGACATGAGGGAGATCGTGGGAAGAGGAGATCAGAGCCAGATAAAGAAAACTGCAGAGAACACGATGAATGATGATGTACTGTTGAAGACCTGTGTTCCACTAAGAACCCAAGGGAGTAAATAATAATGACATAATGTGTAGTCAGCAGGTACCAGGAGCATAAATTAGCTTTATTTGTTCAAACGAGACTACATGTGAATGACTCTCACAAAATGGAAGAGAGAATCACATCGACCCTTAAATATCTAGAGCATAAAACCACTGGTCTTTAAAGAGGGTTTTAAAAACATCCAGGTAATTGTTTTTTGATTGGACACTAGTTAGTGACTAGCGTCCAATCAAAGTATCCATGAGGTCGATCGCGAGCCTAAACACCTCAGTGGTAACGTTTCTGACTGTAGGACTGGGTGACGCTGGTTCGAATCTTAGGAGGAATATGAGTCCTTTCATAGATGCAGATACGCCTTTCTGACTGTTGAATGCCAGCTAGCAGGAAACTTAGGTCAAGCAAGGCTTCCTGTGGCCGATTGCCTCCCACCATCTAATACAGGTAAGTTTGAATTCCTACAAATAGGGTATCTATAAAACCAATACTGGAATTATTGATTACCACAAATAGTAGAGAACCTATTTTATGATAAATGAAAGTAGAAATTTGTGTTATGAGTGAATGAACTGTTTTCGTCTTATATAATCACGGCTCATTTTATGCGTACATTGATTTGAATCATTATACCTTTTAATGTGACATTTACTTACTAGAAAATAAGGATATTATATATGATATTTAAAAAAGTTAGATATAAGGTCTACATTGAAAATAAATAGGTATTACTAAATGTTTGCCAACTGAACATAAAAAACAAACGAAATGAAAGCATAATTGCAGTGTGATGCGTAGACATAAACTCACCGTGGACGAAGAATGGAGCTATTGCCAACAACCAGTTTATTCATTACACTAGCCACAACAAACTGACGAAGAATCCTATAAAATAACAGTAATGTTGATAATAATGCCTTTTTATTCAAAGCAATAATTTTAGGTGTTGTTCATATAGCAACGATTTATCTCAATTTACAAATAAATACATACATAAAACAGTAAGAACTGAAGGTTAATAGAACAATAATATATATAAGGATAATAATAATAGTAATAATAATAATAATTCGGGTTACAATTTACTGTTTATTTACCCATTAAAAGGTAGGTTTATAAGATCATTGTCTGACATTTGTCTCTTCACCCAAAACCCGTGCTAAATATAGTATGGTTGAATTTTTCATATTTCGTCGTACGAGCATAAATGCTTATGAAATTCTTTCCTATTTTACCCGAGGAAATACAATGAGAAAGTTGCGAAGAGAGAGGATGTTCGTTATCAGACAAGATGACTTTAGCTAGATGCTTGCAGGAATTAAAATGCCTATCAACAAGATTGTCACAGTTAGTGGAGTTAAAGGCACACCACTAACCGTAATTACAACCTCCAACATTCTACGTAATATGACATAGTCTTTTTTGAGAATCCGAGGGAGGAAAAAATAAGGAGAAACCTATAAAGAATGGGGAGAATACATGAATTAACTGTAAGAGTAGAGGTTGAGTTATGCCAGAAAGTTCTAACTTTCTTGCTTAATAATCCAACAGACAGGTTTCCTTAGAAATCAATAAGACATGAGACGACCGGCAAAGATTTGAAGAGAAACTGAAGCCAAGAGAGGTAATTAGAATTTAATTGGTGGATGGCGACTAGCAGTGGAATTCAGAATGCGCATTTCATCCTATTTAGGACTCGTCATCTGGATGTACCTGTATTTCTCAGTGAGAGATGATGTTCCCACCGAGGCTCGAACCCAGTGCCCATAGTTTCAAACGCCAAAGCGTTATCCACTAGACCACTTGGGGCACGAGAGCCACCTCTTGTGCAACGGGTAATATTAATTTAATTGAATTTGAGATTTTCCAGTCGAATGATTGGACCGAAGTGCTCGGTAATATTTGATTTATTTCCTATCACACTGCCACTGACATTAAAAGAATCATGGGACTTAATCAGTCCACGCAGGTCTTGTTTGCATCTGAAACTAAAATTAACAGGCTGATATTTAGAGGGATTTAGTTTAAGACCGTTTCAGCCAAACTACTGGTTAACCTGAGATAAGAATGTATTCATATAAGAACAATTCAAAGCAGAAACAACTGGGATGAATTGTCATATCTTCAGCATATTTAGTGAATTCGGATTTAGAAGAATACGGTAGGTCATGCAAAAAGAAAGGAAAGGAGAAAGTACAGCATCTTGAGGCACACCAGCTTCCTTAAGCAAAACAGTGGAGCGCTTTCCATTTAAAACTGTATGAAAAGTAGGAAAACAGCCACCTCGTAGCCAGGACTCAATGCGTGCTGAAGTCTGCTAGCTTATTAAAAGTGCCCCACGAATACAATCAAATGCAGTAGTGCAGTCGAAAAAAAAGGCGGATCGAACAAACTTTGCACCCTTATCTAGGCTGAAAAAAATATTATGGTGCAGTGCAATAACAGCATCTTAAGTGCATCTACTGCATTCATAAGCAAATTGTTTGGGGTCACTGGAAGATGTTAAGCAGGGTTTACGAACAAGTATGAGAAGTGTATCCATAGTTTTCAAAAGTGAAGATGTGATGACTACTGGCCTAAACTGTACACTTGGTGCAGATGATTTTGTTACGGGTACGATCGTTATTTCTTTCCAAGCAATAGGTGCTGTATCCTTATGAAATGATGCATTAAAGATTTGCGTAAGAGGATGCTACAAAACATCTGAACACTTTTGAAGTAAAATGTCTGACACTCCATCAGAAACTAAGCTGTGTGACAGACTTTAGGATTTGAGACACCTTAATACATCCCTTTCATTAAAACCTAGAAAGTAATCACTTATGTGACTAGGGGCATCGATACAACTATATCAGCTTGTTGCTTTAGAAAAGATATATTTAAGGTGTTTATAACTGAATAACCATCAATAGAAATTTGTTTGTAGTTTTTAGGTCGATCAAAAAGCTTTCAGATGTTGGGAGCATTTTTACATAATAAAAGGTGGAAAAGATCACTTTGAATAAAACTTGAATCCACAAGTCAAGATCAACATTATAATAGTACTACTAGTCATGAGATTTTTATTTTCTCATTTGACTACTCATAAGTAGCATGATTGAAGTTACTAAATTTCTCATGTTCTGGAAAGGCACATACCTGGAGTGTAAACGAATCAATTTGAAGTGTTAATGAACCATAATATGTTTTGACTTCGGTGATGTTTCAGTCAAAACAAAACAAATACAAACTGATAATTTGAAGGTTGCATTTAGGAATAAAACTGAGACAGCCCCTTTGATAAATTTAAATAGGTCATTGAGGAGACGTGAGCTGGTAGTTTAATAAAGATAGCTTTCTTTGGTTCAAGGGTAACCAAATCATGTAGTTGACAATTCGAAGGCTTCGGCTAGCTATGAAGAACACATCCTATGCCACAGCCCACTTTCCTCACATCTCGAAAGTTCGTAATTCCTGTGCCTACAACAGAAAAAGATGAAATCCTATGGGCTCTACTTCACACTGTATCTACAAGTTCACCTTCAGTTTCGGTGACACATATAGGTAGAACCAATAGAATGTACCAATGTTATCGGTAAAAGCATATTCCAAAGTCGTTATTAAGTCACATGGAAAATCCAAATGTAATTAATCTGAATAGGAATCCAGCACCATCCATTGCAAAGCATTTATTATTATCCTGTGACAAAAGCCAATATTAATGACTGCTTCTGAATTATTTCACATAACTCTAATTCAACCTTATTAAAGGTGATAGCACTTTGGATTAACCTCTTTCAAATCCCTCCCGTTGATGGTGATTGACGTTAGATGTTGTTGCTGTTGTTGGTTGGTTATTTTCATAACCTCCGTCTTGTCTATGTTTACCTGGAGTACTGTCTTTGCTGGCTGCTTCTTCGACCAGTTTGTCGTTTTTCGCTTGTAAGTCTTCGATTGTGTGTGACATCAAACATAAATCATCCACGCGCGAAATCCCGGTCTTTTAGGTTCTTCATGTCGGTTGGTTCATGATATCCCTGTCTTCCCGTTTCCCACTGTCTGACGCATAATCCAGTCCACCACAATTAGGAATATCATTGGTGATAATAGGCAGACAGCCTTGTCTGACTCCTGTGTTTACTCCAAACGCCTCGCTGAGTTTTCCGTTGTGGATCACTTGACACATGTCGTTGTCGTACAGCTGTTGAATAAGGTTGATGAATATTTGTGGTACACCGTATTACTTGAGTAGTTTCTAAATTAATTCACGGTCAACGCTGTCGAAGGCCTTCTCAAAGTCTATAAAGTTGGGGTAGAGGTTTGATTGCCATTCCATGCTTTGCTCGATGTTGATGAATCTAGCTTGTTCTGGTCGGAGTTTTGTCTCTAGTGCGTCCTTAATTCTCTCCAGGATGATGCGACTCAGGATTTTACTTGGCGTCGACAGGAGCATGATTCCTCGCCAGTTCTTGCTGAGTCCTAAGTCTCCCTTCTTTGGTAGTTTCACGAGGTAACCTTTCCTCCAGTCAGTAGGCACCTTTCCCTCCTTCCAGACCTTTTGCAATAATGGAGTCAGCATGCCTGCTGTCGTCTCTGGGTCTGCTTTTAGTGCTTCAGGGGGTATTCCATCTGGTCCGGCTGTTTTCCCAGCTTTCAGAAGTTTGATTGCGTTCAAGACTTCAGCTTTCGTTGGAGGATTGGTGTCAACTTGCAGTTGTGTGCGCGCTGTTGTTGGTATTTCTGGACGGGTTGCAGGTGATGGTCGGTTCAAGAGTTCTTTGATGTGATCCGCCCATTGTTTAATCTGTCTTTCTTCCTTGGTAATTGGCTTCCCTTGGCTGTCTTTTATAGGTTTCGCTTGTGTTGATCTCTTCCCGGATAGAGATTTGGTTATGTGATATAATGTCCTCAGGTCTCTTTTGCCTGCTGCCTTCTAAGCTTCAGTGGCGAGGTTGTCATAGAATCGTCTTTTGTCCTTCCTAGCACTGTTCTTCATTTCTTTGTCCAGTGCTGGGTAAGTTAAACTCAGCGTCTTCTTTTCTTGTCCGCCTTTGCATTGAATCATTTTCTCTTTCACCATTCTCCTCTCCTCTATTAGCTTTCAAGTGTCCATTGAGAGCCATTGCTTGTCTTACCTTTTCTTTCTTCCTAAAACCGTTGAACACGTTTTGTTAAAAATCACCTTCAGAGAGTTCCAATGGTCTTCCACGTATGATTCTTCCATGATATCACGTAACGTTTCCTGCTTTGCTCTGACAGTTGCAGTGATAGAGTGCTAATAGCTACTTAATAATATAAATGTCAATAAATTTGATTAGTTTAAAAGATAAACACCTGACGAAATGTTGGAAAGTTATCTTTACTTTGATTAATATTCGGGGAGGCTATGTTGTAATTGTGAAGTGATGGATAGATGAATACTAGGCAAGAGAAACACTGTAAAATAAGCTCTGTTGGATAAATGTTTCACCCTTAGTTTGGGACTCCTAAGCAGTTTAATGGTCTGTGTCGTCCAATTATCATTGATAACTGGATGTCTTCTAACGAAAACTAGCGGAAACCACTTTTTATCTGGAATTTAACGTAATCATTCATAGATATTTTAGGGAGTAGTTAAGATTCAACCGCTTTCAAGGTAGGGTTTCACATAATTTCTGGAAAAATTACTTCGTATAATGTGGATAATTATTTCTCCAAACATTTTCTCTTAGTGTTTTGAACGTTGTAAACGCTTCAATGAAAAAGAACATAAGACGCAAATGTGTATATCCTATTCGATTTTGTTATCAAAACGATTCTTTAGAGAGCAGCAGCAGCTGTTTTGCAGCGCAAGCCTACATGTTTAATTCGTGATTGATCATCATACTGTTTATTGTTTTTTATCTGCTTTTGTCAACAACAGGTTAGAAAATCAAAGACTGTAACTGTCGAGATCTCTACAGGTAGAAAATAAAAACAACATGCTGCGTTGGTTATACAACCAGACATAACAATATCAGTCATTTGTAGGTTATCACGACTTTGTTATTGGTTTTATTGACGCTTTTACTTTAATTCTATTATGTTTTTGCAAAATGTTGAGGTGAAATAGGAATGCCAAACTGGTGACAGAGGCGGTAATCCCGAGTTTCGTTTGTCTACACCGACAACGTATATACAAACACAGTTAACCGATCTCTCTCAGCCCTTAAATTAAGGGAGGAGAAAGCACACAGAAGACGGGAAGGATATTAAGTATAGTTTCCCAATAATATATATATATATATATATATATATATATATATATATATATATATATATATATTCAGATATATCAGTTATTCTGTAATCATGATCAATAAAATAGTGGGTGTTATTTGACATAGGCCACTTCTGATTGGGTTATTTCCTAACTGGACATCGACCACCATATCAAATTCATGCTTTGTAAGTTTAAGAGCATCAAAATCAAAGACAAAGGACGACAACATATCATCACTTTATGGTTCCCTTGTTATACTAAGTGAGGAAAAATTATTGACACACCAGGTTTGCATGAAGGCAGACTGATAATTATTACGAGTTTTACCTACATTTGACTTAAAGTCCTTTAGTTATACTGTCCGGGGGTTTGAAACTTTTCGTGAGCTCAGTATCTTCCAATTACAAGTTGTTATACTTATTAACTGATTAAAAATGCCCATTGAAATTTTCAAAAGAATGGATAATGAACAAAGAGTACTCTTTTTGATAACTTCATCATCAGGCTCTACAGTTATACATACATTATGGTGAATGAATGAATTAGTGTTATGAGCAACATTAATGTTGTTGTTTAAATAACATCGAATCAATAATATTGATAGATTACAGCTCAGTAACATCAACATAAAATAAGCTAAATATCAGAAGAATTAGGAAAGGTAATATTACAAATTCCTGAGTTTATAGTTTCTATTGAAGGCCAGGGAAGTAGTAGGGGCTGGACTTGCTTCTTTTGAACACAGAGCACTGGTTGTTTGAGACGAATTGTAATAGCCTCTGCTGTTTGAGGTATGCGGTGCTTCGATGATTTTGGCAATCTATTAGGCACCCGGTGTGGTGAGAGCAGGCTGCTAGCCGATTGGTTGGCACTAATCTACGTTAAGGTCTAGGTCACTAATATGGGCCGTGAGAAAATATGAACAAGCCTGAGTCAACAACCAATCACAGCAAAGTTAACGTGGCAAAATATGATTCGCAGAGAGAACTCTATTTGTCAAGGAATCCCGAAACAACCAATCAGAAGCCTGCGTTTGTCTACCTAAACAACCAATCAGATGACTGCGCTTGTCTATAATAATGTAGTTGAAAGATGTATAAATACGTGTTGATTTTCATAATAAAACGATCTGTTGCCTGGCCCTTGTCTTCTGTTGTTACATTTGGTGTCGCTGCCTACCGACAAATGAAAAGCCTATACCCTGCAGTTTTTGATGGAGACATATGGATCTTCGGGCAGGACTTCAAGGCTTCTGCGCAGTTGAGTGGCGTTCAAGATCTGTCAGCGATGGAGCTGCTACTTGAGACGCTGCTGGGAGGTCGGGCGAAAGCAGCATATGAAGGTGTGGGCCGAAGTATGGACGAATGTTCGACAGGGTCAGGCAAACAGTTTCCAAAGTGGGAAGGACCATATATGGTCACTTCGAGATGGGGTTACGCAGACACAGTCGCGATGGCGAACAATGAGAGGCGCGTGAACGTCAGCGAGCTCCAGAAATGGATACAGCGAGACAAGCCAACGATGACGCCTGCACCAAGTAGATCAAGCCGACTTCAGTCGCACGTATTTGACGGGGGGACGAGTGTGGTGAGAGCAGGCTGCTAGCCGATTGGTTGGCACTAATCTACGTTAAGGTCTAGGTCACTAATATGGGCCGTGAGAAAATATGAACAAGCCTGAGTCAACAACCAATCACAGCAAAGTTAACGTGGCAAAATATGATTCGCAGAGAGAACTCTATTTGTCAAGGAATCCCGAAACAACCAATCAGAAGCCTGCGTTTGTCTACCTAAACAACCAATCAGATGACTGCGCTTGTCTATAATAATGTAGTTGAAAGATGTATAAATACGTGTTGATTTTCATAATAAAACGATCTGTTGCCTGGCCCTTGTCTTCTGTTGTTACACCGGTAGATTATAGAGAAGGATTCTTCCACGATGGCTTTGTGGCCTGTTTGCACCAGATGGTCCAGTATCGAACTGTTAGTGGTTTTAAGTACACCTTTACATAGCCATAGTGGGATATGTTCTCGAGGACGAAAAATCAAGTTTCTAGAGAAACGACCAATATAACCCATATGTTTAAACTCTACACTCCCATACAGTGTAATTTCAATTACTCAGCGATAAAATATGGGACTTAGTAATCTTAATAAGTTCGGCAAAACTGAATATCAGTTCAAGTTACCATACTTTATGCCAACGGATCGAGGTTCAGGTCAATAAGCAGAAGAAAGACAATAAGCATGAAGGTAACATCAGCAGTTATGAAAAGTAATACGGTGAAAAGGAACAATGTAAAAAAGAAAATGCAACTGTAGTTAATTTAAGTTGTAGGCCCTGCAAATCACTCCAGAATAATATTCTCATACTCACAGAAAGATAATTACATTCACAATATCCTTACATCTAAGATCAGGCAACTTTGAAGACTGTAAATCTTCAGTGAAGTAGACGACTACAAGACCTTTATCACTGGCACACCTAAGTTGAATGGAAAAACTAACATTAATTTGAAGATATTTGTGTTCTGACTAGTCAGGCGAAAAGATACGGTCAATAATAAGGAATTAAATTTTGGCAAGACATAAAGCATTTTCGCGTCGGTGGCGCATAGGTAGAATGCTCGTTGACCACGAAATGTGGCTCGAGGTTCGATCCTCGGCCACCGACGCACTCCTTCGCCTCGCCAAGCCAGTAATAAGACTGGGAATGAGGGAAGGTTGGGCGGGAGGCTAGCAGTCCCAGCCCGTAAAAATAAACACCACTGTTACCGAAACTTCAAAGCTCTACCTTGAAGCCCTATGTTCCACTGGGAACGTAAAGGAATAAAAAACAAAAACAAAATGCATTTGACGAATTTTACAGGCAAATAAAATCTGCTTTCACTACATTCAAAAATGAGTAATACAGATGGATGCTGAATCAGTTTTAATTCGATTTATTTTCTAAAAAGGTTGAATGAATGAAAGCTTTAAGAAATTAAGAGATGAAAATTTCTAAGGTCATATGATGCGAATGAAAATTTTGTATATATATATATATATAGCAAAGCAAATTTTCGAAATATATAAATAAATAAATAAATAAGTGAAATAATGTGACAGTAGGTGAAATCAATACTTACGCAATCGGATATTATACCACATGGCTACATCACATATTTTGGAATGCAAACCACGTGAACAATCCTTTTCAAGAGAGAAAAAACTACACTAGATAAACATTCAGACAAGATATATATTTCGAAAAAATAAAATAAAATCTGATCTTTTTGATCAATAGATTCACTTTCAAAAGAAAGAGCAGAAGAAGAAAAAGAAGAGGATTAAAGTCATTCTGTATAATTATTCGACAGATCAGATACAAAAAGAAAATATAAGGACATACTATGCGAAACAATGCAGGACAAACAATACAAACAATAAATAAATAAGAAAGTGTGTCTTAGTAGAAGATAATCATAATAATTACAATATAGAAATTTTTTTTAAAAACAAACAAAGGACACTTAAAAATAAATACGACTTGCCACGTACTTATTATTACAACAATATAGAATGCATATCGTGCTGACTGATTAGTTATTAAAAAATAAGCGTAAAGGATTAATCTAAAATTAACATAACTGTCAATAGAATACGCTTTGTCTAAGCAACTAGTGCGTAAAAGGTCAATCTGTTTACTATCGAATTAGGACTAATCCCTAAAAGTAAATAGGAACTGTTCAACTGTAAGTCTGAATGCATATGTATATATAGATGCTTCATAGATTGTCTACATTTTAGTTTGTGGAGTAAAATATTGTAATAATCCACCTGGCCATTGAGAGTGGAAGACATGAAGAGACTAGCTGTCTTTGATCACAGGTGCCTGAGCTCTATCTCCCGTGTGAAGTGGTATAATAGGGTGAGCAATATTGAGGTTAGGTGCCAAGTGTTAGCTAAACAGGGGAGATCAATCGACGAGGCTGTGAAGCTACACTGACTGGGATGGCTAGGACATGTGTTACATGTGCCTAGTCATCGCCTTCCTCGACGGGAAATCTTAGCTGACATAGGTGCGTTCAGGTTGAAAAAGAGCTAGTGGTGGTCATGCTAGAACATGGGATCAGTCAATGAACTCCACAACAGTTAGTTAAGCCAGTCACTTAGGGAGGTTTAGACTTCCTGACTGGTTGAGGAAACAATTGGTGATATGGCTCAAAATTGTTCTCAATGGCTAGCGCAGATGCATTCACTCCCTGTGATTTATGATTTCCAATGAAACTATATTGTTCTTCGTTATTACTATTCCGTTGTCTCACACCTCTGTTTACTGTCTCTATTATGCATTTCTTCTACTTTCTTCTGTTGATTTGTGTGCTACATAGAGGGAGTGTGGCGAATTGAACTCCCGCACATCGGTGCAAAGTTCTATGTCGAAAACAGACAGACAGTATAATCCACACAACATTCTTTTAAATAAAAAAAAGGATTGAAAATGTGTTTCAGAAGAAAGAAATGTCAGTGAAAATGAAAACATGATTTATTACTGGAAACTTACCGAATAGATTTTAGCACCAGTAAGGGGTCATCTGAACAAATATCTTTTTCAACTGAAGCCTCAAGACGAGAGACAACCTCCTGCCATAGACTAGAAACCCCTGGACTATTGGTTCGGTCTATAGGTTGATCAAACGATGGAAGACTTTGAACATTAGAGTCGATAGATGGAGTCTTGAAAAAAGAAGAAACATAGCTTTCTAACAAATTCAACAACAGGAATTGTACTTATAAATTATAACGTAACATCCTAAAATATACTTAATCACCATATATATTAACAAATAAATAAATAAATAGTAGACAAATAGGTACTCCTATATTTAATACACTCAATACGAAGAACTAAGGAACTGCTGTAGAAAAACATGATGTAATCCCATTAATAGGCACAAAATTAATCCCATACAAACTGTAAGTAGTTGGCAAACTCAGAAAACTGTCACGGTAGAGAGATAGAAGAAACAAAATTCGATACAATAAATGCACCATGAAAAGTTAACTGAAGTGCTGAAATGATAAGGTTTATAAGAATAATTATTTCAACAGCATCACAGAAAATGTCTTCCTCCAACTATCCTCAACATTATTTCAGTCTAGCTAACAACAATTTGGGGTAGGCAGTAGATAGATATGGACAATACACGTCCCAGCTGTCTTAGTGACTTACAACCTTCATGACTGGTTCACTTGGTGCTATATATCTAACCCATTATGTTAGGACAGACGAACTACCATTGTTAGCAGTAAAATTATGATTGATGTAATCAATCAGATATTGATTATTTATAGTTTGCATCTCCACAGATATGTAAACGAAATATACACTTTATTGTGGGTAATAGAGTTGTTGTTGTCGCGGTTGTCCCAGGTAAATCTGACTTCAGTGTGTAGCTCCATGGGGGAAAGGAATGGTTCCAAGTGGTCAGCTGGTTAGTGTCGTGACTGGAAGCTCATTCTAGTCAGCAAAGACAACAACAAAAACACTAAACACTCCGTTACAACACACTACAATACTTATATGGTGGTTAAATCAAACCCGGGAGATTAGTAATGGTCGAATACACAAAAGCATTCTGGGTACTATATTTTAATGACCATTTTTTACAATCATAGTACAAATCCTTAGAGAGTAGTCGGGTATCTCACCTACACCAAAATTAACAAATATGACGAAAAGTGAACCCAGATTTTTGTATATGTAGAAAGTTTTTATAGAGCACCAAACAACTAGGATTTATACGAATAGCAAGGTGACATCGTGGATGAGCATAACTACTTAATAGGCTAAATTGAGGAAATAAATAAATGGTAATGAAATAGTAGTTTACACTTGGAGAGCGAAGTATACTTTGATTTAACACTAGTAACTAGTGTGATGCGTCTACTCCCTTCTTTGGTGAATACTGAATTCTGTGCAATGTGGCCACCACTCTAGGTAGCTCGCCTCACGGTGTACATTGATTTGATGGTTGCTTCCAACCATCTAATATCATCAAGACATATGCATTTCCAACATTCATAAAGTGACACTCATTGGTCATCAGACTTTGCAGTTAATAGGTCCCAAGTCTAATCCCTCCCTAACTGCTTCAGTTTTGACAACTGGGTCGTATCCTTAGCCCTAACACAATAGGTGTGGCTCATAGTGCTGTACTTGAAAATAAATTATCTTACGTGAGTGAGTTCTAACTCTAACTGAGCATCTTGTTAGTATCCTCACATAACAAAACACTGTCTATCTGCACCTGAGTGGATATTCAGGTCTTCTGGAGAGTCTATTCATGAGAAGTTAGAAAAGCAGAAAGTAATACTCATACACAAATTTGGTTAAAAATAAAGACAATGAGAGTGAACATTTCACAGGACACCTCACTATATCGTCTAGAAAGATACTGGCTGTCCGGAAACAGTGTGTTCATTGAAATATGTCATTAGATCTGAAGATCGACAGATGATGCAGGTGACAAGACATGTCTCTGCTTCAATATATCAGGGAAGATGAGTTTATCTTGCATGTCCGTGGATTTCTAGTTCCCAAGCTCCACGTAAGAGTCGAATGATTATAGAAAGTGGATTTTACAGGCCACGCTGGGTGAGTTACCATCTTAGAAACCGTTAAACTAGAATTTATAATTCGCAGAAACTTGAACGACTAATGAGTTAGGCAACATAGAGGGAAATATTTTACGGCTGAAGCATATTAGCATGACTAATAATAACCACCCTTGGATATCTTCTTTATCTGTTCAAATCATCTACGGTTTCTTCGATATACAGGAGTGCTAGTGGCTTTATATATTATTCATATAGTGCCCAGGGAATGGGCAAAGGAAGTTTTAAGTCTGATTGCGGATTGACAATAGTTGGACGACCACTGAAAACCAAGGAGTAATCGACAGCTGTCTCGTCCTAGCTTGAGACTCTTCATTAGTAGGCGCTCATTGACCCGCCGGAGACTGAACCCGGGAACTCCAGGTTACGAGGCGAGCCTGTTGGTTATTCAGCCAATATGACTGGATCTAGTGGCTCGTGAATTCCAACTTCTGTCAGTTCAAGATTTTTAGTGCCACCGACAGAGTAGCTAGGGAACAGTTGAGTGCTTTATCAAAAGTCTCTACACATGGATGAAGTTGCCTCCCGTAAGAGAAAACAACTGACTCGTTTCCATACTTCCTTACGATTGCAATCATTTATACAACTTGGAGGACTGGTATTATCATAATTAATTGGACGTCTCACAAAACAAAAACAACGATCTGATTCTTCAACTGTTCATATTACAAGAATCCACCCGGAGAAAACGTGTGAAGACAAAATATGGTTTAGTTTTCGCACTTACGATATAAAATGAGTAGCAACTCAAGGAAAGATAATTCTACCAGCGAACAAAATTTCGTAATTACATTAGGAGTAGTCAAGTGGATATCAAATTGCAGAACCATGTTTCATTAAGCTGAAGCCTTAAAACTACGTGATTGCAGAAACGCTTTGAAAAGAGGTCAAAAGTGGAACATAATATATTCATTGAGTAGAAAAGATGTCCAAACAAGTGTATAGCGACACACCAATATTCAACAGGACAAATTTGGATTCTTTATTTCCGTCCTATGTAGACCAACTGACCCAACTATAATTTAGTTTAAGACCACCTCAAAACTTCATAAACACTTAAAGCCTTGGGCTCTTACTCATTTTTAGCAAACATGTTTGAGGTCTTTAGTTTTGGATAATGTGTAAGCCATCAATATACTGCTCAGAACCTGTCTAAAGTAGTCCTGAGCCTACTTTTAAGTAAAAGGAATGTTGATATTATGGATTCAGACAATTAATTTATTTGGTCAACGACTGAATGTGCAGAACTAGTCAAATTGGATGGAGACGTAGCTACGAAAGAATTGTCCTATATGAATGCTTTGACTTCATCGCATAAACTATGAGAGAATTAATTATTTTGCACACGAAATGCGCCTTAAGTGAAGGAATGCAATAAATGACACCTTGTTGACTATGTACATTCGCGCTCTGAAATCCGCTAATACTTCTGATTACATTTTTCAATCAACCCCAAAACCCTATCTTTTTAACACGCCAGTTTTCCTGCATACATTTACTAGCAGATCATAACCGTACTCGGGGAGAAGTTAAAGTTAGTTATGGCTTTTGCAAATGGAAAACCGTACACAAAATGTGGCAATTCGATGAAATTTTTTCATTTTAGAAACTAAACTCCAGGTTGTACCATACTACGGAGGTAGAACTGCGAGGAGTTACCGGGAGGAAAGTATTCAAAGTGCAACATAGTTTGAATTAAAAAAAACACCCAACTACTGGCTCTTATATAAAGCGTACACAAAAAAGGACAGTGTTTCAAAAATATCAGCTAAAATTATGTGCAGCAAAAACTAGACTAAATAACATAAAAATTTGTCGTATGGTAAGAAAATCAATAAAAAGCCAAAAACTTACCATTACACAAGAAGGTCGAGAATTGCGCCAAACAAGGACAAATGTTCAGCATTCAACCAGTTAGCTAGCCGTCCAATATCCAATATCCTGATGACGAGCTAGTATAAACCAGTGATTTCTTTGAGCTCGCTTCTTGATTGTGAGGTAGAGGTTCCAGATCTTCGGTGAGCTTCTGCGTAGTAAGTCCCGACACTCGACTGCTTTAGCTCTGGTAGACTCCAGGAGGAGTGGTGCGGGGATTGGTCGAGATGTGGTTTGTAGTATGCAGTATGTTAGGACTGTATTGCTGCCGTGAATGGAGTTTGACCTAACTCCCCTTGGTCATTCGGTGTAGTCATAAAAGCAGAATAGTAATAATAATAATAGGTTGTAGTGTAGATAATATAGGTTGAGATAAGTGGAATAATAAAGGTGACCTAAGGAAAAGATAGAGTGAGAGAAGGCAGAATAGGTCGTGGGGATTTAGTTAGTACGCTTATTCATTGACAGTTTGGTTTCAAATTTTATGAGGATAAGCCATTGAGACACATACCTTGCATTTCTGCATGATTGTCTAGCTTCCGCTTAAAAATCTCCAGAGATGGCGCTGTAGTCACGGCCGCCGGTAAAGCGTTCCAGAGACGGCAAACACGAAGCGAAAAGAAATGTGATCGCACTCGAGTCTTTGGTCTCTGGTGTGCTATCCTTAGCGGGTTACCTCGTGGAAGCCTATAATCGCTTAATGGCAGGATGCTTTTATTTGGGTGGGCCTGGTCATTTAGGATCTTGTAGACGGTGATGAGGTCTCCCCTGTGCCTACGGTAACTGAGTGTGAAAAGATTTAATTTCTTTAGTCTTTCCTCATATGATTTGTTGCGGAGGCCGATCACCCATTTTGTCGCTCGTCTCTGGACACTTTCTAGAATGTTAGCATCCCTTTTGAGTAGCGGAGGTGCAATGATATTATGCACCTCAAGGTGTGGCCTCACATATGCCTTATATAACCTTAAGAACAGTTCGGGAGTGAGAGCTCCCAGCTGCCTGTGCATAAAGTGTAATGTTGCGTAGGCTTTGGCGACGTCCCTCGAGTAATTTCCACTGGTGTCTAGCTTTTCTGTTAGAATAAGACCTAGATCACGCTCTGATGGAACACAACTCAAGTTCTGGCCACCAAGGGTGTAATTTACACTCTGTGACCTGCCGGAATGAAGCTGCACTACTTTGCACTTCGTTAGATTGAAAGGCATTCCGTTAGCCAAAGCCCAATTTCCCAGAGTTTGCAGGTCAGCCTGCAATCTATCTGAGTCTTCCGATGAGTTTATTGCTCTCCAAATCTTTACGTCGTCAGCGTAAAGAAGCGCAGAGCAGTTTAGTTGGGGGGGCAGGTCATTGATAAAAATCAAAAACATCAACGGCCCTAGGATAGAACCCTGAGGAACCCCTGATGCCGAGGTGTGCCAAGATGATCGGATGCGGTTGACTTTGGTGCAGAATTCTCTCTCGCCTAAGTAATCTGTCAGCCATGCGAGAAGTGCTCCAGAAACTCCCGCCTTGCCTCTTTTGTGAAGGAGCAGACCATGGTGAACTGTGTCGAATGCTTTCGCAAAGTCAGCGGTAAGATAATTTATATCACGACTTTTCGCTGTTACAGGAGGTATAATTACTATAAAAAAATAATTTCCACATTCAGACAGCCTCAAGGTCATGGAAATGAATTCCGACAAAAGATTCAGTGTCCGGTTATACGAGACATATTCACAAGTCACAGAATACACAAGATAATCGACTTACTACAATCCAGATACAACTATTCAGATGCATCTGCGTGCTCCAGCAACAGGACCTTCTGGCTTCAAATACCCTGCTTGAAGGTTACTGAGCTTGTTAACTTCTTGGCCTTAACTAGAAACAACACATAAATAACATTTCGTTTACAAGTCAGAACATTTCCTATCCTGCCTCACCCTCACTATTGTAGCCACGATTCTCACAACACAACGCCTATCCTGTAGATTCAAATGTACTTTTTCTGCTGAGATTAGAGGCAATTCAAAACTACAAACTGACCATTCCGACTGCCAGATACATTTGGGAATCAGTAACGTTTAGCGATGTTAACTGCATAACTAGAGTGCACGAACAAATGAACGTAATACGACAATGTGCCAAGTTGCGTGGGTACTCGGCTGTGAACCTACAGCCTAACAAGCGTGCTTAAACAGTGAAGTCTGGCGTCCTGCATTCGGTGGGTAATTCTACATATTGTTAACTTTGGGTAATTATTGACGACCACTCCCTGTTATAATGCAATTTAACACTGCAAGCTCTTCTTCGTGACTTTCTAACCAATGGTTGAGTGAAAATTCATATTCTTTCAAGATGACTTGTTTGAAAGATCTATCTATATCTCCTGTTTTAGACAGTGTTATTCACATATATCTACCATACTTTGAGGCTGCATCTGAGCGTTTCGGTGGTAAACTCACCCCACCTCTCCACAATAATAACCCGCTTCATTCTAAAAATAGTACTTATAATACAGTACGGGGTTTTCAGCATTTGTCACAATATCGCATCTAGTTTGCTCAATATAAATGAAATTTACCACAGAAAGGTTTCCAAATTTACAACGGGAATAATAACTACCATAATAATAAAGGTAATGATAACAGGGATTTTCGTTTCAAACAGTATTATCTATACAATATGGAAGCTTTAGTATGTTATAGGGTAATGAATCTAGTTTCCTCTTGGTGTGGCATGTTAAGAGGGAAAACTGAAAGGAGAAATTGTTGGAGAGCTTAAATGCTGTTTAAACATATGGGAAGATAAAAATGAGAGGACTATAAATATAAGAATAAAAAAGTAAGGATTGGTGGTATAAGGATTGGGAGAATTGTTTATTTAATAGTGGAAAGAAGTTTAGTTAGTTCTTGACTGACACTATTTTCATCACATGATATACGTGCCAGTTATAGAATCGTGGAATTTCTATGTATAAATATGATCGCATAAATTCTTTTGAAATGATTCCTTGCTTTACCCGAAGAGACACAATGTGAAAGCTGCCGGCAAAGAGGATGCACACAGTGTAGCGAAATCCCTTTAGCAAATTTGTTGCATGAAACTATGAACCTATCAGTGACAATGTCACCCGAGTCTCAGTAACCGTCAACGTCCAGCTCTTGCTAAGCTTAACCTCACACTTTCAATGAAGGACCTTCAGAAATAATTTGTAATAACCAACGCAAAACACCAGGACAGAAATCGGCGGATCGAGAATCATTAATTCTAACGTCAATGTGTAACCAAACAAAAACAGAGTCTAAGAATAAAAGCTAGAGCAATAAATCACAAAGATGCTTCTGATAGCTTATTATTTTCCACTGAACAGAGAACGAAGAGACGATGACTGCTGGCTTGATGACTCCCGCGAAAATTATACAAGAGTTGGTGTCAATACAGTTGAAGATTGAACGATCAATTCATGGTTGTTTGCTCAAAACCAACTTCCCCAATTTTCGCGGGGGCATCAATCAGCCAGTCATCGTCTCATCGGTCGCCGTTCAGAAAGAAGTCAGGAGTAAACCGTCAGAAATATTAGTAGATACATTTTTTATATGTTGGTGTTACAATAAAGAATTCTCGAGTGGCCAATCGATGTTTTGGTTTTTGCGTCCATTCGTACTAAGCGTTTCTGAGAAACTTCAAGGAACAGCGTGAGCCCGAGCGTGGCGAGAGCTAGTGTCAATGGAGTTGAATATTGAACGATCAATTCTTGGTTGTTTGCTTAAAATCAACTTCCCCAATTTTCGCGGAAGCATCAATACGACAGTCATCGTCTCATCGGTCGCTGTTCAGAAAGAAGATTGAAACATCGTCAGAAACCTTAGTTTGCTTAGTTCGCTTATTCCTTTTATATGTTGGTGTAACAATACAGAAATATCAAACGGCAGATCGGTGTTTTGGTTTTTGCGTCCGTTATAACTAAGCGTTTCTGAGAAATCTTCTAAGAACAGCGTGGGCCCGAGCGTAGCGAGAGCTGGGCATTAACGGTTTATGAGACTTGGCTGACAGTTTCTGACGATAGAAACAGATCTGGCGGATTCAAACAGTTGGTGAAAGTTTGGATAGTCGCCGTTCATTTTTCCTGGTGCCGGTCAAGTCCTCTTTGAACAAGCAATATCTGGAACTTTTTGGAATTGGGTCAAGTTCAACAATGCCTGGGTCAAAGAAGGGACAGAGTGTCTTGGATGCAAACAGGAAAGTAAGTCATGGTGACTTGTCTGTTAATTGTAACGATGTGTCTGATGTTAAGCATGACATGGTTGATGTTACTGTTTCGCCGTTCAGGGATAATAGGAACATCAAACTCCCTAAATTAGAACCACGATGTTTTGATGGAAACCCGGCTGATTATTTACAATTTGTAAAGGAGTTTGAGATCATGTTGAGTAGTTTTTTATTAAATGATGAATTGAAATTGATGTATTTGATGAGATATTGCACTGGAGATGCTGCAAGAGCTATACAGTGCTGTAAGTTTATGAAGCCAAAGGAGGGCTACTACGAGGCTATGAGCATATTACGTCAAAGGTTTGGAAGACCCTCGATGATTGCAGGGAAATTATTCGAGGCTGTTGAGGGTAATGGTGGTCAATTACAGGATGACTCCCAGGCACTCACTGAGTTTTTAGATAATTTGCTAATTTACAAGAATGGAATGATTTCGATGAATCGAATGAGTGACCTCAACTCGAGTTTTATACTAGAAGTAATAGCAAGACGTCTACCTACTCGACTGCAAAGGAAGTGGGTGAAGATAAGCTCCCGTATGGAGGATGAGGGTATCGAGCCAAAGTTTGATGATATCCTGAAACTGGTAAAAGATAGTGTCAATCAATCTATGAGCAAGTTTGCCAGTATACTGCGTCTCACCCATAGAATAGAGCAGTCTGAGGGTAAAACGCAATCATTGATGACGAATAAGCCTCAGAGAGGTGGATATCGAGAAGACTCCATGATGTCTAGTAATGCATATAGACCTAGTGAGTGTAACAGGTTTCGTAGTACATCCTCAACAGATAAGTTACA